CTGAGAAAAACCAGCCCCAGTTTAGCTAGCATTGCTGCTGAAGACTTCCAAGAAGGGGTCTGAGCCATCAGGATTCTACTGGTCTCCCTTGTGGGCTGGGTAGAGAAGGTGAGCCTGACTCAGCAGCTCATCCTGTGCACACCACTGGACTAAAGGGCTTGCAGGACACCCCCTGCTACTTTCCCACTGAATTTAATCAAACTGAATTCTATCCCCCAGGCATGAATTTGGCAATGTGAGCTGGAAGAGTCAGAAACATATCCATTCTCTTTGGCTCAGGGATTTTACTTGGAGAATTTATTCTAAGGAAACAATCCAAAATATGGAAAGAAACTTGTCACCCCAAATGTTCGCACTTGCTTGATTGGGATTATGAAAAAAGACTGTCAGGTGTGTGCATCTGTGGGATGTGGGGCAGCCCTGAGCGAAACTGTGAGAGGCGACATTGAACCTTGGCCATGCTTATGATGTGGTGGAAAATACGCAGATGTCAGTGCATGCTGGCTGCATCTGTGGGGAACATGTCTGAGGGGACAAGGAAGAGTGCTGTGATCATGCTCCTATCATGTTGGGGACATGAAGACATAGATGGTTTCCAAGAAACTTTTTCTCCTTCAATTGATGAATAATACTTTTACCAGAAAAAGTTTTTAGAAGATCTACATTTCTCATTCTTCCCCTTGTTCCCATTTTTTTCTGTCTAATGCATGATCTAGACCTACTCAGAATTTGTGAAATCAATACTTAAAACCATAAGGGGTGATTGAAGAAGGATCTTTTACAACCAATGTGATAGTAAAAGCAAATGTGACTCCATTTTGTTTTGTGACTCCATTCTGTAAAATAACCATGCCAAGTAGAAGGGTCATGACTGGGGCAAGATGTTCTTTTCCTTTTGCTATAGAAACCTTTAAGAACACAGAACTACCTAATGGGGCATTGTTTCTGTAACTAGGGTAACGGAGCTCTGTTTCTGTAACTGGGGTGATTGGGCTAACTGTGATTGGTTAGGCTTCCCGCTGCTTGACTGCACTGTCCCGCTTCTGTAACCTGGCTGGCTTGCATTGGCTAGACCCCTGAACATCCCTTTTGTGGTTTTCAGGCTTATAAGGAGAGCCCTTGCAATTGTTTGGGGCTGATCAGGGGAACAGCTTTATGTTCTGGTCAGTCGCCACTAGTATGCTTCAATAAAGGCTTGATTCGATGATACGTGAGTGGTCTGGAAGTCAGTTTATGAAACCCCGGGATGAAGCTTTTTAACACCTACATGTAAAAGTTCTAAAAGATACAAAAAGAAAAGAATTGCGGAGGTGCGTAGGTCACGCTTGCATTATTTTGTGGTTTCTGAATGTTCTGTTTTACTTCTAGCTTTGGAAAAACACATGTATCTAAGAACAAGAGCAGCCTGGACAGCAGTGGCTGGCAGCTGTGCTACAGGCAGATCCATCTGGTCCTTGGTCTGCTGGGGTGGAAAGGCACCGGGCAGGGAACCCTGAGACATCCTCAGTGTGACTCACAGCTGTGTACTCATGGCTTAAGACTTCGTCTCTCTGAACAGGGTCCTAACATGAGGACCACTTCACCTCTAATTGTCCTTTTTAGTTCTGAAATTGACCAGTTTGTTCATTTAACAAATTTTTATTGTGAACCCATTACATTTCAGGCATTTTTACTTGTGGAATAAAAACAAAGCAAAATGAAGTCAAAACAGGACATAGTTCCTGATTTGAAAACAAGCTTTGAATGCTTTTTAGTGATGGGGTCTAGGATCAGGGTAAGGTAGGAAGGCTTTGTTTTGAATCTACTTTTACAAGTGGGCACATGACATTATCTCTGTATCTGCATTCTTCTGAGACATCCAAAAGGAGCATCACCACCCTGTTCATCAGTGCTGTACTATGCTCATTAAACTAAAAATCAGAGAAGTTTAGTGTCTACCTATGAGAACTCATGTTGCATGCATTTAAATAAGATGATGAATATTTAAAAAATGGTAGGTATGAGGACGTTTTCGGAGGAGAAATACCCAGTATTTCAAATTTGGATCCTTTATTTTATCTTGATCTGTATCCTTTTCTTGTCACCATTGTTTATATTTTCATTCCCCAAATGAACAGAATGTATTTCTAAGCCTCTCAGGTTCCTTTAAACACAGGTAATCAATTGATCCTGGTCATAAGACTTCCTCAGCTCTCCCACTAAAAGTGCAGCTTTCCTGGAAAATCCTTCAGTTCTAGGCTGAGACAGGTGATGATCTAAGTGCACATTTTAGTTTGATGAAGCCAAACCAAGCCACCTCTGGGCACTGCCAACATTCCTTCTGTCTTATTTTTTTATTGTTCTTCTCAGCTCAGCTCATCCCCAGCCTTGCATCCAACTTCTACAAAAACTTTGAGAAGCACATTCGGTACTGTGCCACCACCACCAAGGCTTGATGATTGTGTTAGCCGTGATGGGAACATCTGTGGGCTTCAGCTGGGTTTCTATGCATAATCTTCACTCTTGTTAAGTAGAGTCCACGGTATAGAAGTTGAGGCTTGGGGAGAGTATGTGAGTTTTCTGAAGTTTTCTGGGAAACAAGTGGCCATGCTGGTAGCTGGGATTGATGCCAGATTCTGTAACATGAAAGGCACGCTTCTGACCATAATAGTGTGTGGTGCACACTGCCCCCTGTACTAGGTCACACACATACCATCTTTGAACCCAGTGCTTTGGCCATTTAGCACTCCACATGGCATGGAGAATTTAGTACACCTGGCTTGCATCCACTCCAGATGGGGGTGGGAGGTCCTTGGTTACAGGAGCTGTGTCTTTAAGACACCAGAACATACATGAGACGTGGGAATACGTGTTGCACGAGAGAATGGACAAAGGGAAATTTTTAAGCCGAGTCTTGAAGAAAGCACGTTTTAGATGAGGAAGTTATCTTTCTCTTTCAGGTGGGGAACCCAAGCTCAGAATGAAGCCGGTTCAAAGGCACCTTTGTCGGGTCCTATAGCACACTGTGCTGTGGATACTGAAGACAGGAGGCGATTGTGTGAGTGTGAGTGTGTGTGGGGGGGCTCCAGGTCACCTGCCTTCCTCACTGGGGCCCGCACGAGGAGAGGCGCAGGGGGTGACCACGCTCTCTTGGTCCGGGGGAGGCGGGGATAACCTAGCGCTGCTCAGGGCGGTTTTCTGCTGAGGCTCCCGGCTCACAGCCGCCTTCCCCCAGGCGCTGGGCGGCCTGGGTCTCCAAGCTCCAGCGGAGGGCTTACGGAGCTTGACTCCCAAGAAACCTCTGGTGCGTCGCGGTCCCCTCCGCAGGAGACCCAGCCACGCCTGCAAGCGGACCTCCGCTGGTCGCGTGGCACCCGCCTCCCGCGTGCGGGGACGCCAGGCCGAGCCGCGCTCAGATTCTTCATTACGGCGCGCCCGGGACCCTCCCCTGTCTTGCAGCCGGTCTCTCAGGTCAAACAGGCGGCGGGGACAGGGTTGGAGAGGTGTAGGGAGCTCACAGCCGTGTCCCGCAATGAGGAGGCCACAGTGGAAACCTGACGGCGGGAGCCGTGATGCGCCCAGGGCCCTGCTGTCCCAGAGCTGGCCCCCGGCGGCTCTGTGCCGCCACCTCCCGTCGCGCCGGACCGTGGCTCTCCTGGGCCAGGTCTCCCCTGGGTGTAGGAAAGGTTGGCCGCCCCTTTTGAAATGTGGCCACGCCTTGATCTTTTGGCAAATGGACGAAGTGAAGGCGGATCTCAGAATGCAGACGCACACGCGCCTCTTGGAATCCATTTCAGACAGTTCAATGGGGCTGGCTTTGGACAGTCTCGCCCGTGGTTCCTGTCATGTGGAGTCTCAGAAAATGGTTCTTTTATCTAGTAATAATTAGGTTGGAAATAAGGAAGTCTGAAGGTTCCAAGGCATTTTTGAACTGCGGCTTCAGTTTGAGATACCCGGGAGGCTGCTCTGTTCACAGGCAGGGAAAAGCCCCTGGTGTCTCCACTTCTGTCTGGCTGCAATGTCCTTGAGTCTCTGGAGGTGTCTGTCTTTGACTTCTGAGCCTCCAAGGAAAGGGTTTATCTCCATGTCATTACCATCAGGGTTGGTGTCACATATTCATACTGATTTTCAAAGCACGCCTTGAACATGTTACAAATATGTTGTAACCTAATAAAAACAAGAAAACACTATAGAAATCCCTGTTTTGAATTCATTTTTCTTCCCAAAAAGCCCTTTAAAATGGTACAATTGTATTACTAGTATAATTATCTATTTTCTGGGTAAGCTTAAATTTATGGAAGCTTTCAAAGAAGTGATGTTGGGACATTTAAACTCATTTTCCCATGTTGACTAAGCTCAGGGAGATGTGGCTGTGCTGTTTCTTATTATTCTCTATAGTGTGGAGCTTTGGGTGTGGCTTTGCAACCTGGGGAACAAGAGTCCCTGATGGGTTTGATCTTCTGATGGTAACAAAACCTCAGTGAACTTGTTGTTCTGGGGGTGGGTACGGGGAATTGAACTCAGGGGCACTTAACTACTGAGCCACATCCCCAGCCGTATTTTATATTTTATTTTATTTTTTTAAATATCTATTTTTTAGTTCTAGTTGGACACAATACCTTTATTTTATTTATTTATTTTTATGTGGCCTGAGAATCAAACCCAGGCCTTACACATGCTAGACGAGCACTCTACCACTGAGCCATAACCCCAGCCCCTTATTTTGTATTTTATTTAGAGATAGAGTTTCACTGAATTGCTTAGCACCTCACCAAGTTGCTGAGGCTAGCTTTGAACTCACAATCTTCCTGCCTCAGCCTCCTGCGCTGCTGGGATTACAGGCCTGCACCACAGCGCCTAGCTCTCATTGAACTTTATTGAAACAAATGGCCAAAGTGTTACTTGAAAGAGGGAAAGAAAGTTTCTGATATTATTAAATCTTGATGTTAAAGAAAATTTTAAATTACATGTAAATGCCTTCAGAAAAGTTAATCTTAAAATAATAGACTTTGGGTCCCAGCAGCTGGGCGCCGACTCTCCCAGTCGCCCTGCGACTTCACCTGCGGGTCTGTATCAGCAGCGGGACTATCCAAGGAGCCGCACGTGGACCGCACCATGGCCCACCTCACTACCCTCCTCTGCAAGGCCTATCATGGGGGCCATTTAACCATCCGCCTTGCTCTGAGTGGCTGCACCAATCGGCCCTTTTACTGTGTTGTGGCTGCTCACAACAAATGTCCCAGGGATGGCCGTTTGGTGGAGCAGGTGGGCTCTTATGATCCACTGCCCAACTGTCATGGAGAAAAACTCGTTGCCCTCAACCTGGAAAGGATCCGGCATTGGATTGGCTGTGGAGCCCACCTCTCTAAGCCTATGGAGAAGCTTCTGGGTCTTTCTGGCTTTCTCCCTCTGCATCCCATGGTGATCACAAATGCTGAGAGACTGCGAAGAAAATGGGCACATGAACTTCTCTTAGCTTCACAGAAAACAGATACAGAGGCTATAGAAACAGAAGCGAGTTGCCTTCAATGAATATAACAGTGGTTACAAAGTCAAGGTCCCCTAAAACACTGTGTGGAGCTCATAAATTTGTTGGGTTTGGAGGTCAATAAATGGAGTTTTCTAAGTTACCATATTCTTCTGGCCTAGCTTAAGCAGAGCCCAGAGATTTGTTTTTGTATAAGAGCTGGGTCTAGATACTAAGCATTTGGGGATATCATTTTGGGGAAAAACTGTGGCTGTGGGGAAGATTGGACTTTGGGTTGTCCTTGGATCATTTGGGCAAATTTACAATTAAAGTTCAAAACTTTCCTGCTTCAAAAACTCCCAACCAGAGTGACTTGACCTATCCAAATGTTTCCTTAATCATTCTTGATCATCCCACAAGAACATAGATCTCTTATTCTTTTTTTGTAATTGTAGATTGTTTTGCTTGACATGTAATTGTAACTTTACAAAGACAAATTGATCATGAAAATTGCTTTGGGGCTGTAATAGCCTACCTTTTAAGGATGAGAAATTAGAAGGAAGCTAATTTTGTAAAGCACCCCAATGTACGTACCTGGAAAGTCCTGTTCAACATATGTTGTATGTATAGGGGAAAAAATAAATAAAGATGGGATGCTTTTTAAAAGTCTACTTAGAAAAAAAAATAATAGACTTTGGGCTGGGGATGTGGCTCAAGCGGTAACGCGCTCGCCTGGCATGCGTGTGGCCCGGGTTCGATCCTCAATACCACATACAAACAAAGATGTTGTGTCCGAAGAAAACTAAAAAAAATATATATATTAAAAAAAAAGACACTTCAAAGAAAGAAAACTACAGACCAATATCTCTAATGAACTTGGATGCAAAAATTCTCAATAAAATCCTGGCGAATTGAATACAAAAGCATATCAAAAAAATTGTGCACCATGATCAAGTAGGATTCATCCCTGGGATGCAAGGCTGGTTCAATATACGGAAATCAATAAATACTATTCACCACATCAATAGACTTAAAGACAAGAACCATATGATCATCTCGATAGATGCAGAAAAAGCATTTGACAAAGTACAGCATCCCTTTATGTTCAAAACACTAGAAAAACTAGGGATAACAGGAACTTACCTCAACATTGTAAAAGCTATATATGCTAAACCTCAGGCTAGCATCATCCTAAATGGAGAAAAACTGAAGGCATTCCCTCTAAAATCTGGAACAAGACAGGGATGCCCTCTATCACCACTTCTATTCAATTTAGTTCTTGAAATACTAGCCAGAGCAATTAGACAGACAAAAGAAATTAAAGGCATAAAAATAGGAAAAGAAGAACTTAAATTATCGCTGTTTGCGGATGACATGATAATATATTTAACAGACCCAAAAGAGTCTACAAAGAAACTGCTAGAGTTAATAAATGAATTCAGCAAAGTGGCAGGATATAAAATCAACACGCATAAATCAAAGGCATTCCTGTATATCAGCAACAAAACTTCTGAAATGGAAATGAGGAAAACCACTCCATTCACAATATCCTCAAAGAAAATAAAATACTTGGGAATCAACCTAACAAAAGAGGTGAAAGATTTATACAATGAAAACTACAGAATCCTAAAGAGAGAGATAGAAGAAGATCTTAGAAGATGGAAAAATGTACCCTGTTCATGGATAGGCAGAACTAACATCATCAAAATGGCGATATTACCCAAAGTTCTCTATAGGTTTAATGCAATGCCAATCAAATCCCAATGGCATTTCTTGTAGAAATAGATAAAGCAATCATGAAATTCATATGGAAAAACAAAAGACCCAGAATAGCAAAAGCAATTCTAAGCAGGAAGTGTGAATCTGGAGGTAGAGCGATACCAGAGTTCAAACTGTACTACAAAGCAATAGTAACAAAAACAGCATGGTACTGGTACCAAAACAGGCGGGTGGACCAATGGTACAGAATAGAGGACACAGAAACCAATCCACAAAACTACAACTATCTTATATTTGATAAAGGGGCTAAAAGCATGCAATGGAGGAAGGATAGCATCTTCAACAAATGGTGCTGGGAAAATTGGAAATCCATATGCAACAAAATGAAACTGAATCCCTTTCTCTAGCCATGCACTGTTGAGAGCCACAGCCGAAGGGGCCCCAGCAAACTTCCAGCTGCCAGCAAACTTCCAGCTGCTGGCTAATGATTGGCTCACAGCAGCCCCAGCAACATCTAGCTGATTGGCTCCTCGGCCCCAGCAACATCTAGCTGATTGGCTCCTCTGCGGTGATGCTCATTGGACTGTTTCCCTGCCCTTTCAGACCACGGAGCTGCTCATTGGGGGACTTTTTTGGCTCCGCCCACGTGACCCAGCCAAGCGGCCTCAAGAGCAGGAGGATTTTGGGAGGTGGAGAGAAGCTTGTGAGGGAGAGAGAGGCTTGTGGAAAGCCGGTGGTGGCAGTTGAGGCTCTGAGGGTTTTTCCTGAGAGGCTGTTTTGTTTGGCGTGTGTGGTTCTAAAAATAAAGTTAGTTTCTTTTGACAAGTGGCTCCTGATTGTGCCCAGCCAGACTGCGGCAATGCACAAAAGTTAACTCAAAATGGATCAAGGAGCTAGATATCAAATCAGAGACACTGCGTCTGATAGAAGAAAAAGTTGGCTACGATCTACATACTGTGGGGTCGGGCTCCAAATTCCTTAATAGGACGCCCGTAGCCCAAGAGTTAATAACAAGAATCAACAAATGGGACTTACTTAAACTAAAAAGTTTTTTCTCAGCAAGAGAAACAATAAGAGAGGTAAATAGAGAGCCTACATCCTGGGAACAAATTTTTACCCCTCACACTTCAGATAGAGCCCTAATATCCAGAATATACAAAGAACTCAAAAAATTAAACAATAAGATAACAAATAACCCAATCAACAAATGGGCCAAGGACCTGAACAGACACTTCACAGAGGAGGACATACAATCAATCAACAAGTACATGCAAAAATGCTCACCATCTCTAGCAGTCAGAGAAATGCAAATCAAAACCAACCTAAGATACCATCTCACTCCAGTAAGATTGCCAGCCATTATGAAGTCAAACAACAATAAGTGTTGGCGAGGATGTGGGGAAAAGGGTACACTTTTACACTGCTGGTGGGACTGCAAATTGGTAAGGCCAATTTGGAAAGCAGTATGGAGATACCTGGGAAAGCTGGGAATGGATCCACCATTTGACCCAGCTATCGCCCTCCTCAGACTATTCCCTGAGGATCTTAAAAGAGCGTACTATAGGGATACTGCCACATCAATGATCATAGCGGCACAATTCACAATAGCTAGACTGTGGAACCAACCTAGATGCCCTTCAATAGATGAATGGATAAAAAAAATGTGGCATCTATACACAATGGAGTACTACGCAGCAATAAAAAATGACAAAATCATAGAATTTGCAGGGAAATGGATGGCATTAGAGCAGATTATGCTAAGCGAAGCTAGCCAATCCTTAAAAAACAAATGCCAAATGTCTTCTTTGATATAAAGAGAGCAACTAAGAACAGAACAGGGAGGAAGAGCAGGAGGAAAAGATTAACATTAAACAAAGACGAGTGGGGGGAGAGAAAGGGAGAGAGAAGGGAAAGCATATGGAAATGGAAGGAGACCCTCAATGTTACACAAAATTACATATAAGAGGTTGTGAGGGGAAAGGGGAGGGAAACAAGGGAGAGAATTGAACAACAGCAGATGAGGTAGAGATGGAAGATGGGAGGGGAGGGGAGGGGGGATAGTAGGGGATAGGAAAGGTAGCAGAATACAACAGTCACTAATATGCCATTATGTAAAAATGTGAGTGTGTAACCAATGTGATTCTGCAATTTGTATTTGGGGTAAAAATGGGAGTTCATAACCCAATTGAGGCAAATGTATGAAAGATGATATATCATGAGCTTTGTCATGTTTTGAACAACCAATAAAAAAATTTAAAAAAAGATGTTGTGTCTGCTGAGAACTAAAAAATAAATATAACAAAAAGAATAATAGACTTTGCAGATTATAACAGGGCCAGCTCCAATCAGTGTCAAGAATTCAGCAGATTTTGCTAATTACTATATGAATGACTCACAACAGAAACAATATTCAATTTTTTATGTCAGGAGAAATCTTATCCTATAATTTCTCTTCCTACAAATATATTCTTATTACATACCATGAGAACATTGTTATAAAAACAATAGTTCTTAGATTCTAAGTACAGTTAAAGATTTAAATTTTTAAAAACTGATTCAATACACTTGAAAGACAGAAATACACATGAATTTATTTGGAATTTCTTTTCACATAAAATGTATTCATTTGTGTATGGGATTTTAGTGCATTGGCTTTATCTGTAGTGGCCCTGAGAACGGCCCCAAATGCCCGGTGATGATGGTGATGGAGATGCACTGGCCACGTGGCAGCCTTTGCGAGTCTGCCAGTCTTCTCTGAGTGCACCGCATCCCTGGTGCTGCTATTGCTCCCATCTCCTGATGCAGATTGAGTCTTGGTATGCAGTCACACGGATGGTCACAGAGCCCCGAAGCCATGGAGGTGCATTCAGACCAAGGGCTCCCTGGCTCTGAAGCTGTGCTGTGCATCTTTCTGTGACTTTTCTTCTTGCCATTAACCCAAGCAGCTGATGACGGAGCCAGTCACTGGCTGGGTCCTCAGTGGTCTTTGTTTTGTTTCATGAGCACATTGGTAATGTACACTAACTCACTAATGAGGGAGAACAATCGGCAAATGATGTAGTCAACTACTGACGACAGATTATAATGAAAATGTAGATTATGATGGAGGAATGATCCATTGTAATGATGCTGCTTAATCCATAATAAAGACCCTTCATCAGTAGTGGGACAGGTGGACACCATGGTCCTGATGGCATTGTCTGAGAAGACAGTGTCACCAGCAGTGTTAACCTGCAGAAATCAGGAGGAAACAGCCAGACAAAGCTCAATCCAACAAGAGGCTGCAAAACAAGTGGCTAGAGTCGTCTTCAAGTGTGTCAGTTTCAGGGAGGACAAATAACAGTGACGGAGCTGGTAAATCTCATAAAGAGGCAAAGGCATGACAGCAGAATCCAAATGACATGTAGCATTCACACTTCAGAAAATCAGTCCCTGCCAGGTGTGGTGGTGCATGCCTATAATCCCAGTGGCTTGGGAGGCTGAGGCAGGAAGATTGGGAGTTCAAAGCCAGCCTCAGCAATTTAGTGAGGTCCCAAGCAATTAATGAGATTCTGTCTCTAAATAAAAGTAAAAAGGACTGGGGATGTGACTCAGTGGTAGAGCACCCCTGGGTTCAATCCTCGGTACCAAAAAAAAAAAAAAATCAGTCCTGAGGAACACAAACTCTAAACAACCCAATCAACAAATGGGCCAAGGACCTGAACAGACACTTCTCAGAGGAGGACATACAGTCAATCAACAAGTACATGAAAAAATGCTCACCATCTCTAGCTGTCAGAGAAATGCAAATCAAAACCACCCTAAGATACCATCTCACTCCAGTAAGATTGGCAGCCATTATGAAGTCAAACAACAACAAGTGCTGGCGAGGATGTGGGGAAAAGGGGACACTTGTACATTGCTGGTGGGACTGCAGATTCGTGCAGCCAA